ATATATATGTATATATGTGTAATGTGTATGTATAACCATAATGCACTGACGCAACGTCTTGCTGATATAATTATCATATGCCAGTATAATGATCTTTAAAATTCTAGCTTGACTTCGCTGGGGAAAAAATTAACATATAATTATAAATGTAAATTTAAAATAATGAATAAAAGAACAAATTTTTGTCACAGTATGGAAAGTAATTAAAAATATGTCATAAAATTTTATATCGTATTTCATTTTAATCTATAATAGATTTGAGCTAAAAGACATTTTAATATAAGAGAATATAGTTAGAGATACATAATACATTATATTTCATTATTTCGAGATCTTATTGCATTGATCTTCGCTGAATTTATTCAACGGAGTCGTGACGATAATCATCAACAGGTCAGACGTTGCCGTTACAATAAAATACCTAATTTTAGAGGCCAGCTCATAGAAACAAAAAGCCATTGTAGAGATTAAACACGTTCTTCTCTCTTTGTTGACTATAAAACAAAAACGCGTATATGTTTAGGTACATATGTATAGCGGTCTAATAGAGTGTTGTCTACGTTACGTTAGGTCGGGTTACTTGCTTGGATCTTTTGCGGGGAGAGCTTTACAATTATTCGTACTACGAGTCTCGCGACCACGAGGATAAAAACTGCGAAGTTCAGGCACTGAATTAACTCAAAGCACTCGCGAATCGATCCTCGAGGATCCGCACGACGGGCGAGTGGATTCTGAAGTCCGATCGACGCGAGCGAAGCGGATTCCTTGGTGATCGAGGAACTTCTGCTTTTCACGCCCAACACGCCGGCGAATCGGCTAATCACCGTGCCGGTATAGTGTGTATAGTGCTAGTTAATTAACAACTTATTTATTTGCTTCTCGCGACGCTTCTTAGTATTGACGAGTAGGTACGAATGTGTGCTGTGCTCTTAGTCGTAAGGCTTCACAGATATCGTAACAAGAAGAATTATAGCAAATTTTAACCGGTTTATCACAATTAAAAAGTTTTTATAATTTTTATTTAATCTTCTAAATAATCTAGAAATAATCTTTTTTGTATTGTTTTATTCAAGAAAAGATAAGGGATAATATAAATAATGGAATTGGCCATTGTTTGGATAATGAATATGAAACAAAGTAAATAATATATAAAATAAAATGAACAAAAGATTAAAATAATAACAAATGAAATAGAGTAAATATCTGAAATGAAAAAATAAAAGAGAGATTTTGCAATGGGAACAGCTCGCGATAATTATCGCGAAACCTTGCGTCCAAGCCACTTCGACACATAATAAAATTTTTGATATATTTATATACATATAGAAATTATGATGCATGCCTAGATACGTCTAGATATCACACGCGATTTTGCTGCGTGAACAAAACCCCCCTTCAACAAGGTTCGAACGAAATGTATCTCTACAATTAGAAAAGTAATTTCATAAAAATACAGATATGTTTACTTTGACGCACTCGCGCTTTGGTACTTGGTATTGCTCCATTATTGTGGCAAAGTACTCAATTAGTACGAAAGAAATCGTATGAAATTGAGATAGAAAAAAGATATAATTAGAAAAAAAACCCCTTTTTGAAATATTAAATATTTCAATATTAGAATAATTAAAATTACGAATAATCTCTATTATTCAAAATAGAAATCGACTTCTTTAGGATTCTAATGATATCTGTTTTATTAATATGAATAATATTGCAAAAGACATCGCTTCAAATTCTGTTAAAATATAGATTGTTCTTAAAAATGACAAATAAATATAAAGAGATAAAACAAGTTTTCAGATTCTGAAAATTATCTAAAATAAAATATCTTTAATAAAACGGCTTTATAAGTAATTATTACTTGCCATTTTTATCAACGTTTATAATGTTTACTCTTACCATTGACAAAATTAATATTAATAATAAAATACATAACATCTAACGATTTTAGAATATATATGCATACGTAAAAATTTCAAGTTTGAATCACCGAAAATAATTCTCGTAATCCAAATTTTATTAATATTATAGCGTTTCTTTTAGCAACAAAATTTATTTAAAAATCGAATACAGGGACGAGAGTACTTTGCCAATACAGAGCGATTCGTGGGGCAAATCGACCGCCCTTGTCACAACCCTCTATACAATCGCCTACTTAACTTAAAGCCTTACTTTCTAGATTTCTGATGCCTTAATTAGTGATATGATATTTCCGTTCAGCAATGTAGAACGATTTTCAACGAAAAAGCGTTAAAAACTCAAAACTTGCCCAGCGGCAACCCGCGAGCGAAGGTCCTTGCTGATGGAAAGCCTTCGCTGCGGTCGTATCCTCCCTCTTTCTTTCCTTCTAACACTTTGCGCAATGACTTCTCGCATCCCAAATAAAGAACTTGTCTCTTCTCTTTCCTCCATAACACCGACACATCTCTTCCTCCCCCCCCCCCTCTTCTCACTCTAATTTTATTTCGATGTTGCGACTAGTTGTTCTTCTTGAGGTTCTTATTCTCAACAAAGACGGCCATTGTCCTTTCCGCGTGCTTATCTAATCTTTTTTCCTTCTGCATCTTCTGCATCTTACAATTTCAACATCGCATATCCTATCCCTCAGCAATGTTTCCTATCTCCCTTTCCCCTCTTTCCTTGCGATTCGCATTACCAGCTGCGCGCGGAACCTCGAACGTATATCAGGACCGTCGGGATTCACCTTTCGCAGATGAATCGCGAGAGCTCCGAGGAAATCACTTTGGAAGTCGTTGCCTCTGCTATCCCCGATAAACATCAACTCCGATACTCCGAGTACGATCGAGATCCGGCGGGACACCGCGCGATCGACGATCCTGTAGCTCCTTTAATCTTCTGATCGAGCGTCTCGATCGGTATCATTGTCAAGAGTTTCGCCGAACGGCCATGTCCCGCGACGATTCTCTCTTGCTGATATACGTGGAAGCCTGTCACGAAGACTCGAACACACTTTCGAGCGAAGAGGACGTGCACTTGATCAGTTGGATCGCTACGACACTCGGCAGCGACATCGCTTTAGTACATTCCTTGCCTGAAGGGGTTGCTGTCCCCGGCTGGTCGCTGATCCGCCGGCTCCGGCCTCCTGAAGGGGTTTACGTCAGCCTGGGAGCCCCGCTGATCCTGACGCTCGACCGCGTAATTCCTCTGTTGGCCATAGTCGCCGGATTGACCGTAGCTAGCCGGTTGATTGTATACTGGTGGTTGTTCGTGAGCGGGTTGGTTATAACCGATCGTGTTCTGCATGCCGTAACCACGCTGATCGCCGTAACCGACTTGTCCTGTCGTCTGATAGTTTTGATCATATCCCTGATCGATATTCGTCTCCATACGCGTCTGGTTCAGGTGGTTGCCGATCTCGCCGGTGATCGGTCGCTGCTCTTGCAGCACGTACGTCTGGTATTCTTTATCAGGCGGATCCTGCATTAGCACGTTCGCTTCATCCTGGAACGGCTTAAAGTCGTAGATATGACGCAAGTAGTAGAGAACTGGAGCATACAGCAAATTCGAGAAGGCGATGCCGACGTTAAGGGCGGTAAAACCGATCGCTTCGACGACTCCGCCAGCTATAATCGGGCCTACCGCATACGCCACGCTGTACGAGATGTCGGCGATCGCGTAAATGCTGCCGTACACCGACACATACCTAACGTCCACCAGATAGCCCAGCGTGGGCAGCAGCGCGGTGTCGATGAGCGCGATACCGAAGCAGATACCGCACAGCGGTATCATCAGCACTTTATACGAGCTGCAGAATGGTATGATGAAGCAGCAAAGACCTTCGAGTGCGAGGCCGCCCGCCGCCATCAGCCACTGATATTGCGGATACTGCTTAGCCATCCTCACGGTGATCACAACACCGATCACATGCGGGAAGAAGGCCGGTAACCAGATCATGCCGATCTTCCAGTTTTCATGCGTCATTGTGTCCTCCATCCATAACGATATCGTCGGCTCGAGGAAAGCAAGTGCGACATTGGACATCATCAGAGCGCCCGCGCACACAGCGATGTACGGATCCATCAACAGCCGCCAGATCGGTATCGTCGACTTGGGTTCGTGATGGCGATCTTGCAACTGCTCCTTGATCGGCTTCATAACCAGTAATAACATGAAACCGTCTGCCAGGCTGACAAACGCCAATATCAGGAACGGTACTTCCTTGCCAGCGAATTGGTAAAGTGCTCCTCCGAATGGCGGCGCGACTAGACAGCCAAAACTAATAAACGCCAGGGCAATGCCAAGCGCCTTCGAGCGTTCCGACTCTTCCGTGAAACGATCGGCGATCATAGCGAGACCGGCGGTATCAGCGAACGCGGATCCAACGCCCTGCAGGCTCCTCGCGAAGAACAGTACGCCGTAGCTCTTGCCGCACGCGAATACACTGGTCGAGAGGAACATGATGGAGAGACCGATCATCATGGGGATGTCGTAACCGATCCGATCAATTAGCGCACCGGAGAACGGGTTCACCATCAGTTGCACGATCGCTTTCGATGCGAATAACACCCCCGTGGCAGAATCCTGGCCAGGATGACTAGCTGGACCGCTGGCGTTGACTATCTCCTCTACTTCTCCGAATGCTCCGACATATTTAAGGTAATCGGGTATAATTGGTACTATCACCATGTATAGCATGTTGTCCAGTAGTAACGCTATCGAGACGATGACCAGGATCAGCTTACGCTGAGACTTGGGCTCCTGCAGTTTTGTCCAGACGATCTCCTTGAGCTCGCTGAACTCCATGTTGAGTATCGGTATCGTCGTCATGGTTCCTAGGTAGTCGTCCGCGAAGTGCGACCAACGTCTTCCGGGATTTTTTTATGTATGTCTTAGTGGAAGGGACTAACCGCGGTCACAACCAGTCGTGCGACCTCGGGAAGCGAGCGTGACGAGGAGATCGTCGCGATTGGGGCGGCGCGCATCAGGCCGGGCCGGGGGTAACCTACAACAGATCACCGATTTGGCAACGATTAGCTCGCGGAAATCAATTGACTTCACGTGCGCGCACATGTACGCGTTTAAACACGCTTTCCGCGCTTCTTACGCGACGACACAACCGTTTCGCGAGAACGCGAAATCGAAGAAGCGACTCGGGACTGAGGGAAAGAGTTGCCGAGGAGAAGAATAGGGGAGCCCTGACCCGGCCTGTGGTCAGCGCGAAGTGCGAACGACATCCATCCACTCAACCTTCCCAACCCCAACTTCGTAACCTCGCCAACATCATCAACACGCTGACATCAACTATAGTCTTGCGTGCGGGAAAGAAACACGTTGCGAAAACGCATACGCACTTGGCTCGGCTTTTCTTCGTAGGCTCTGCTCCCCTCTTGCGCGCGTGAAAGAGAACACGACACCGGATGAAGGCTCCCCCACGATTCACGATAAGGCGCCGCGAGATCGACTCTGTGTACCTGAGCGAGCCTTACTATAGTATATTGTGTATCGCATTACGGCGGAGATAAAAACAGCATGAAAAAAAACGCCGAGAAAACAAGAGGCGAGGGTCGATGTGACGTGCTTGTTATTGGGGTCGTCGCTAATCATCTCACGAGTGTTAAGGTAGAAAGAAATAGCTCAACAGTAATTGTGAGCGATATTGTTTTTTGTTAAATTGTCGATCGTTGAAACAATTACATAAAATAAAGAATGAACGGTAGTACGAGATTTTTTTTTACTTAAAGAATAAGAAAAGCACGTAAAATATTTCAGTCAAAGATCGTGTCATATTGTTAAAAAATTTGATTATTCAACTTATATCTTATTTATCGTCATTTATTAAAGTCATGGAAAGTTAATAATTAAAATGCTTCATAAAACAGAAGAAAATTGCGCTCAAGTAGCCATTTTCTTCTTTGATGCAATTCTTTTGAATCTCTCTCCTATAATTTTTCGCTTTTCATGTTGCTTTTGAACTGCCAAGATAACAACGCAAAAGCACACATGGAAAATAGCGGATTTAAATTATATTTCAATAGCGTTGTAACATAATGATGTTTCTCGCAAGATTTGAGGCAGAAAAACTGGGACCTTTTCGCGAATTGGCAAGTGTACTTGATAATGCATTTATCAACTCTTTTCCGATATTTCACTAATCTAGATCAGTTTATCTAATTTAACTTACTATTTTGGAGAAATAAATATTTTGTTTAGCGGAAAATCGCACAGTTTTATTTATTTTTTTTTATTTTAATATTATCTTGACTCTTTTTCACGAAAGTAACAGGATGCGCGGTCGATTGTAAATAATTATAAAAACACGCGGACTAACATTTAAACTGGAACCTCGGGCGACCATCCGGAACAACGATAGCTCGATTCTTCTCGTGTTTGCGAAATGGCGCCTGTCAATCATCATTGTTGCCGGTGACTCGTTAATGGCGCAACGCGATCGATCGACGGGCTCTACTACGGCAACGAGCCTTCCTGATGTACGAAAGAAGGCCGCGTGTGAAAAAAAAAACAACGTATCACCGACTTACCGGAGTTGTTGACGAACTTCTGTCTGAGGGAGTTGGCGAGGCGTTGGGGGCCCGCCAAGGTCGGAAGACCGGCGAGCAGGCCGCTCAAAGTCGAGGCGACGTCTGATCCGTCTTCGTCCTTCGAGTCGTTCACCGACTCCTTGACTCTTCGCGTCCCCGGGCCCTCCACCTTTTCAATCGAACTTACAACCGAGTCTGCAACGGCGACAACATTTTCCAACCATTTAAAATTCGCGTACTGTTAAAAAAGACAATGATAAAAATTCATTCGTTAACCGTAATACAGATAGGTACAATTACGAATCTGTGTCACAAAAATAGCATTATTTCCATCTCGTGACGTTTCGATTAAGGTCAACCATTATTTAAACATTATCTTTAAATTAGGTCAAACATTACTAATAATAAATCAAAAGAAAAGAAGAAGATTAGTAATCTGAAAACAGCTGAGTGGTCTAATAACCCGCGTTCAAGTAGTTCTTTTCTACAACAAAAACCCTAATAGAAAATATTAGATTAAGCGTTACGGGACTATGTACACATTAATAATGCAATTATGTGCGAAGGTATAATTCGTTGCGCAGAGGGATATGTTATGGAGGGGTGGGACAGAGTCCGTCGACCTTCGAGAAGTTAAAATTCATCATCATCATATTTTTAACCCGCCGCAATCGCGCGTGAGGCATTACATCGTACGCGTCCGTACTCTACATATTCTATCGTATATATACTATCGACACAATTTTTACTAACCTTTCTATTATCTTATGTACGCGTTACCAATGGGCGGATTTAAATTTAGCGTTTGTGCATCTATCTATAACGTCCCATACCATGTACATTTGAGGAAGACCGGGCATTACACACGTGCGTAACTTCCCAAGGTAATTTTTGCTCCCCCTCGCCGCATCGCAATATAGTTATTTGGCAGCCATGTGTTATTTCGTGCGCCATTGTTTGCAAGGGGTTGCGGCAGATACTCCCCCTACCTGCGTCGCTTGTGTGATTGCAAATTTCAACTAAAACATAGAGATTTTCTTCGACGATGATTGGATCGCATTACATAACATTACAGCGAGCTGTACTTGAGGAATTTGACATAACTGGCTTGATGAAAACAGCGTATATCGATTTATAAAATTTCAATTCCTAATTTTGTAATTTTTATCACTTCCTGATAGTAAATGTTATTTTTATTAAATGATTATTAATTATAATTAATAAAATAAAAATGTGAAAAATCGAATTTCTGAATCTTGATCTAAAATGTCGGATCGCAATATTAATATCTGAAATATTTCATAAAAAATGTTGAATTAAAGTATATAGATATTTTTATCTAAAAATTATAAATAAAAAACAGAAATATCAATAGTACTATTTAACTTATATTCTAGATTTTTGAATGAAATTTATATCATACTAAAAATTTAACAAATTGTAACAGTTTCATTGCAAAGAATAGAGACAGATTTATGGTTAAAATATTGATACAAAATTGGAGAATAAACAATTATATGGAGAATGTGATATTATTTGTAAAAAAAAATATATATATATATATATATATACTATAAAATGGAAATATATACTTGCATCGTTAAAACACAAAATTACGAAG